CTGTATTTATCTTATTTGATTGTTCCTGTAGCACTTTCCTGACTTCTTCCTTATTTTTCTCAACTCCATTATATAGTGTTTTGATACATTTTATAATCAATTTTCTGAATTCCTTCTCAGGCATTTCCAAAGCCTGCCCATCTTCCAGTATGGTGTGTAGGTCTACTTCCAGCTCATTTGTCTCAGTCACTTTATCTCGTTTCTGGACATGTGCAGATATGGTCATCTGCTTCTGTTTTGGGGGCATATTCAGGAGTTATCTGTGGCCTTAATACTTAGATGGGTATATATTTTGGTATTTTTTATACTTTCTGATTGCCTCCAGGTAGATGTGATCAGGAAATGGGCTTTCCTTTTCACTCTTCTTCTTGAGAAATTTTAAGATGCTACTGTTGGTTGTTTGACGTAATTTAGGATTTAATTTTTGGCCTATTGCCTTTTTGTCTGCTTGTCCCACTCCACAGTCCCCGTTCAGGCCTTTTTTCTAGTTATAAACATGTCAGGGCCAGCTGTGGTAGTTTGGTTTTAAGTGGAAACTGTCTCTTTAAATTTCGAGAGGCTCTGTGCACATGTGTAGTAGAACCTTCTGATGGTGGGGCTGGGATGTCCACTAGCTCAGTCACCAGAATGGAGGTTCTCAGACAGCAAGGGACCAATGAAGAGATACCAAAAGAAAAGAATGTCCACACCTTTATCTTCATGGTTATGCCAGGCGTCTGTGGCCGCTCTGATCTTTCTCCTACTTGGTCTCACCCAAGATGGCGGCTCTTGGAGCAGCTGAGCATCCCAAACTAGAAAGCAATGGATTTCTTGCTTCTGCCACAAATTACCCCAGCTATAAGCCTTCCAACCTTCTAAATATTCCTATATATGTGGCTCAGAGTTCTGGGACCATCCCCTGAGCCTGTGTGGCCGGGTATTCTGTGTTGTTGCTGATGGAGCTCCTTACTGCACTTCCACCTGATCTGCCATTTTGTTTGTTCTCCTGTTCATGGAGTTTTTGAAGTACATATTGCATCAGTTGTTCCTGTTGTAGGTTGAATTCTCAATATATCTTACTTGCATGTTTGATCACTTTCAGACTGAAGAAGTTGGTTTTTGTTGTTCTTAAGTGCCGTCGAGTCTGTTCCGACCCATATCAACGCTGTATAAGGTTTCCAAAGAGCAGCTGGTGAGAATTCTTCAATTTCATCATCACTGGCTTTAGTGGTTGGTGCATAAATTTGAATAGTAGTGGTATAAACTGCTCTTCCTTGTAAATATTTGGATATTATTCTATACAGAAAGCATTGTACCTCAAGACAGATGTTGAAATACTGTTTTTGATGATGACTGCAATGCCATTCCTCTTTAATATGTCATTCCCAGCATAGTAAACCTTATAATCGTCTGAATCAAAATAGCCAATACTAGTCCATTTTAGCTCACTAATGCCTAGGATATTGATCTTTATACATTCCATTTCATTTTTGACACCTTCCAATTTTCTGGTACTCATACTTTGTATTTGCCGTATTATGATTGTTAATAGATGTTTGCAACTGTTCCTCCTCATTTTTAGTTGTGCCCCAGCAGCAATTGAAGGTCCTGAAAGCTTTGCTCCATTCATGTCATTATGATCAACTCACTTTGAGGCGGCAGCTGTTCCTAAATCGTTTTTGAGTGCCTTCCAACCTGAGGGGCTCTTCTTCTGACACTATACCTGACAATATTCTGTTGCTATTTATAATGCTTTCATTTACTGGCACTATATTTGACATTGCTCTTCTGCTATTCATAAGGCTTTCAGTGGATAACCTTCAGAAGTAGTCCGCCTCTCCTTCTTCCTAGTCTGTCTTCCTGTGGGAACTCCATGAAACTCGTCCACCATGGGTGACCCTGCTGGTACTTCAAGTACTGGCGGCATTGCTTCCAGCATCACAGCAACATGCAAGCCACCACAGTATGACAAACTGACACATGAATGGTGAATAGTCGTTAGATTTTAATTTCAGACAACTGATCACTTTTTAGCATAATTATAAAGAAACAAAACTCTGTTGCTGTTGAGTTGAATCCATCTCATCAGAGTAGCACTGTGATCTGTAGGCTTTTCAATGGTTGATATTTTTTAAGGAGATTGACAGGCCTTTCTTCTGAGGTGCCTCTTGGAGGACTCAACTTCCAATCTTTCAGTTAGCAGTTGAGCACATTTACTGCTTGTATCACCCAGGGACACAAACGTAAGTATATCTTATGCAGTATTTGGAGCATATGTACACTAAAAATTATTCATTGCTTATCAGAAATTAAAATTTAATTAAATGTTCTGGTTTTGATTTGGCAGTTCTGTAGGGAAGCAGAACTGTTCCATGTAGTCTGAGAACAAAACCAGATCATTATAGATTGTCTTATAAAAGAAATAATATCACATATGACTGTGGTACATACTTAACTGATCATCTATATGAGGTCAAATGGTCAACATTTATCCTAAAACAAAAAGAGAAGCTAAGGAGAATCAGGGAAACTAGATTAATAGAAACAGAATGAAAATGATAAAGATGTTAACCCATTGTGAAAAATGGTACCCATGTCATAGAACAATTTGTATAAAGATTGTTAAATGGTAATGTAATTTGCTGTGTAAACTTTCACCTAAAACACAATAAAATATTTCATAAAAAATAATAGGACTGAAAGTCTGTTCTAATATTTTTCATGAAATATTATTCATAAGATATTTTTATGAAATATTTTTTCACCCCACCCAGTAAAAAAAGAAGTTGTTGTTGTTAAGTACCATCAAGTAGACTCTGCCTCAGAGCGATCCAGCACAGGGCTTCCAAGGAGCATCTGGTAGGTTTGAACTGCCGACCTTGTGGTTTGCAGTCCAGTGCTGATCCTACAGTGCCACACCTGATAACCAGAAGCATATTTCTACCCAAGAGGAAGCTCTTTCTAATCACAGAAATTGTCACAGCATGGCCCAAGCTACCTGAAGGGGTAGTGAGGTCTTCACTCTTGGAGGTATGCAAGACAAGGAGTACCTGCAATTGCAAGTTGGCATCAGAATCCTCATAAATGCGCCGGGCAAGCCCATGGTTTTCCAGGGCCATACTTTCCAAGAAGTTATAATTCAGATTATTGCCAAAGCCCAAGTTATATAAGGGGAATTTGCCCCTGATAGCATTTCGCACATTCTCTTGGATTTTCTCAGGTCTGCTTTCACCTGTGGAAGAAAGCAGAGTTCCCACTCGAGTCACAGCTAGGTGCTCTTCTCTGGTTAGGAGCCACCCCTACCCCATCTCACCAAAGTTGGCGTCCCCATCTGTCAACATGATGACAATGGAAGTGCTCCTCTCTGGTACAGCATGTTCTTCCCGGGCCTTGTTCAGCATACTGATGCCTCTCAGCAGCCCATCATTCATGTTGGTCACTAGGACACAAACAGCAGTGTTAGACTGTGTCCTCAGGGAGCCAGGGTGCGAGGATGCTAGAATGGGTGTAGTTGGGAAAGCAGGCCCTGCTCTTGTGACCAAAGACCTTGTCAGCTGACACAGAGCGGTACTCTGTCAGTATTGATGGACTGAATGAGTGAGTGAATGAATGAGTTTCTCTGAAATGAGAGTCCAAGAGCAGGCTCTTGGGGCTGCCAGAAGGATATGATGGTTGTAAAGATTTAGAAACAGTCAGATGAATTCACAGCCTCTCTGGCTGGTAGAAGGGCTAGCAGGGTAGACGTTTGTGATTTGTCATAAGAAATGGGGCAAAGGAGAAGGATTTTCAGACCTTCTCTCTATAGGACTCATGGGACAACAGGATCCTGGATTCAAAATGGAAAGAATGTTTCCCTAAACCCAGAAAAGACACCATAGAAGTCCTGAGGACCCTCACCCTTCCCGCAAGAAGGAGGGCACCAGGCAGCGGAGGAGCTGGCAGGACACATACATGCTCTCTTTTTGGCTCTTACTTCCATCATCACGAATTTTCCTCACAAATGCCCTGGCCTCCTGGAGGTTCTCAGGAGTGGCTTGGACTAAGTTGTCTTTCCAAGTGGTCACATCACTACTAAACAGTATGAAGTTCAAGTAGTCATCCTCCTTCATATCATCCAGGATTTTGAGGAGGGCATCTCTTGTCTGGAAAAGAGAGAGACAGCAGACAAGAAGCTGGGAGAGGACACCATCTAGCCATGGCTCTTCCCAGCCCAGTGTGGGAGCCTCACCTGAGGCTTTCTCCAGAAAAGGGGACAGATGCTTTGTGAATTACAGATCTTGCCCCCCTTTCTCCTTTTTTACCAGAAATAGCTTTTTTCCACTGAAAAACAAAAACAGAAAACCCTCCCCCTTTACCACTTGGAGTGAGGAGAGTACCTGCTTTATTTTCTGACCAGCCATGGAACCACTGATATCAATCACAAAGACCACATTCTTAGGCACCACTGGAAGCCCTTGAGGTGCAAAGAAGTGCACAAAATAGCCATTGACTATCTGGAAAGAGGAGAGAGAGGTTAGCGATTGTTAGCAAGGTCACCTTGGCTACTCTTGCATATAGAAGCGTGACATTTAAAAGCCCAAGAAAATGGAATTTCTTCCCCATCCTCCAGGGGTTGCCAAACAGAGGCTCTGGTGCGAGAGCTCAACTAAAGTTGAGGTTGAGGGTGATGGGATGGCATGAAAGTACACCTCTCCCCACACCAGCCTTTGCCCCACCATGATGTAAAGTCAGCAGGTACCTGTACATTAGCTGGAGACTCTCGGTTCACATCATAGGTGATGGTGAAATCCCCGTTGAGGACGGAGTCTGTGCAGGTTGGGCATGAGCGCTGTTGTTCTAAGCTGGGCTTGAAAGACACCCTGCCCTGATTGGGGTGGGGAGGCAAATGGCCTTGATCAGCTTGGCCAGGGCCCTGCCCCCTGGCAGACCTCATCCCAGGGTGGAAGTGGCAGGGCAGATGAGGACTGTGCCTCAAAGGAAGGAGCTCTCTGAACAGAGACTGGGTAGGCCTGCTTGACATCCAGCATATTCTTTGTCTCCTTAGACCTAGTGGGCACTGCTGTTTACCATGAGCCTCTCTGAGCACCTCTCTTACCCTTGGAGGTCAGGGCTTGAAGGGCAGGATCCTGCTCCGGTTCACCCTTTTATTTCTTCCTTTTTGCTGGCCCCCATAAGTTCCTTAGCTTATTTTACCTCAGAGCTCCATCACCTAGGGAAGGGAGCTTGGCATCATGGGAAGGAACTTACTGGTGTGTGCTATTATATGTTGGATGTTGGAGTGTTGGTGCCAAGAGGAGGGAGGATTAGAGGAGGAGGGCAGGGGCATAGAAGAGTGCCCAGGACAGGGCGCTGGCCTGCAGAAACCAGACAGCCCTCTAAGTGGGTGCTCCTTAGTCCTTGCTCTGAAAGTCCAGAATGACAAAGGTTTGTTGCCTCTATGTCTTACATAAACATTTATTCATATGTTACCCTCTGCCAGCCAAGGCTGTGGAATAACTGGGGACCTTGGGGATTGAAGCCAACTGCCCAGTATCAAGAAGGAAGTTTTCTTCAATCCATTATCCCTAGGTGTCAGATCTAAATGACTCCCTGTGGCTTCAATTTCTTTATCTATAAAACAGAGACAGTAACCTCTGCCCACCTTCCTTGGTTAAATGAGACTAGGCTCTGTACATGGCTCCCCCTGGCCCCATCAGTGCAGTTGAGACCCCAATTCCTTAGGCAGGTCATTGTCAGCAGCCCCCAGCCTCTAGCATCTCCTCTTCAGTTAGAGTAAGAGGAATTAGTTAACTGATTTATTTCTATCCCCCACTATACAGATGCACACACTTGCATCAGTCAAACCCTGGGGTGAAGGTTTGTCCTACTGGGGTCAGCATCTCTGTCCCATAAGTCCCTAGATCTGAGAGCCATGTATACCACCTTTTTCCCTGAGAAGGACTTGGTGAGGGCACTGCCCAAAAGATCATTGGTGATGAAAGAGGCCTCAGCGTCCAGCATGCTGATGCCCTGGGGCTCGAAGATTTCTGCCTCAATCTGAAATGGTCAAAGGAGATGGTGTCAGTGACAGTCCAGGGACCAGCCTCTAGGACAAGGTTGTGAGGGCCAAGTCTGGTGTCTCCCACCAGAAAAATGACCACAGGGGCTTGTGAAAGGTGCCCAAAATTCCACCACTGAAGTGTTTCCTTTGGCTTTCAGTTTTGATGTAGGCAAAATGCCCATGTATCCAGATGCAAGTATTAGAGAGACATTTTGTAATGTTGTGCTATTGCCCCAAGTGTCCTGCACCAAATGCACATCTGCTGCATCCAGCTCAGCTGCTATCTTTGACTCCCAGCTGTTGCATCCAGAACATGATGATTTTCCCAAGCCATCTCAGCTAAATTATGGAGCCCAGAATTTTACGTTCTTGACCCTGCTCTGAGATGTACCCCAGTGGGCCCTTCTCCACGCCTCCCTGCAGTTTCAGCCACCCTGAGTTAGACAAAGGCTGCAAGAGTAATTGATTACCTCAAAGTGCTTGACCAGTTGCTTGGGCTGGACCTTGAGGTACATCTCGTACTTGCCCTTATGTCTCTTCAGCAGCTCCTCGTAGGTAAGCTCAAAGGTAACCTTACTGCCTGCAGCCACATTAACCGAGACGGTGAACTTCTCCAGCTTCCTGCCAGAGGCCCTGAATCGGGGTGTGAGACAATGACTGCCCTACAGACTGTAGGAACCTGCCATTCCTACACTTACTATGTTCAAGTCCCAGCCCCTTAGGAGAGATCCGTAACTACTCTGAACCTCAGTTGCCTCAACTTCAAAATGGGATAATGTAACAAATACAGGCATATTTTGCTATAGTAATTATAGTAGTAATAGCTGCTGCTCTTTACAGCTTTGATGACCCTTATAGCCCAGATGATTTCTCCAAGGCCTACACTTACTTGACCAAACCAGCTGTCTTGCCCTGGGACACAGCCTTTTCATATTGTTTTTGGGCGACTTCCTTCTCTTTGATGTTCCCAGGGTAGGTAACACCATCAATGGTCCTATAGGGAAAGACAGTTGTGGGGTCAGGCAGGGCCAGACCTCTCTCTCCCCCCTAGGCCAGACTCAGCAGCCATGGTGATACTCACAAGGTGAAGTTGGTGATGAAGGCTGTCTTGGGCAGCTCCACATCAAAAGAAACCTCCTTGGCTGTTTCTGCACGATTGACAGCCCTCGTGGTGACAACATTGTGAGCAAAGCGAGAGGTCACCTTGCAGCTGATCTTGGTGCTGTAGACCTCAATGCCGTCGACCACCTGCGGGAGAGGTGGGCAGTGAGCAGTGGGAGCCAGCTCTTCAACCTGGCTACTCTTCTCCCAACTGCCCTGTGAAGGTTCTGAAGCCCCTCCATATTCCCAGTTGCCCAGGTCTGAAGCCTGGCCGTACCCTTATCCCTACAGTCAATCAGCCACCATTGTGCTGATGATTCTTCTGTTGGTCACGCTGTAATCTGCTTTCACACAGCTGCAGCCAGTGAGAACTTCTCAAAACCCCATCTGAACCCTCTCCCTCTCCTCCTTACCCCCTCCCCCCAGGGCCTCTCATTACCCTCAAGTCAGAGTTTCCACTCTTCCCAAAGCTCCAAGATCTTTGGCTGAGTCCGGCCTCCCCAGTTCATTCCATGCTCCAGCCACTCCCACCCCCTTGTAACTGATTCCAGCTCTTGCAACCAGAGCACCTGCCTGGCTTCCTGCTCGCTTTTCATGCCTCAGCTTTGAAATCACACTTCCAGAGTCTCCCCTCTGTCTGCCCCATGTATCCCATGTCCTCTGGTAATTGCCAGACTCTGTCACCTAAACAGCCTTTTATCTTCTGTGCTGAGCCAGTGCTTTGGGGAGGGTCTTGATACCTCTAGAAACCCTCCTAACAGGGCAATGGATTGAAAGAGGCTGGGAAGATGTCTTGGTTTAACATGGATATAAAGATACTTTGTGATTGTGTGACGGGGGCCACTTCACTGTATGCTCTCAGCCCCAAGCACAGACCCAGGTGCCAGTAAATGGTCAGGAACCAGAAGGAAGAGATGACTGGTGGAAGGACCACCCATTTTGCTTCCCAGAAGGTTCCTGTGGTGCTCCTTCCTGGGGGTCTCCTTGCATGGGGTTTGCCAGGACAGTGTGCTGTGCCACCTTCCAGGGACCTGCTGGTGTGTCCCAAACTTTCAGTTGTTGGGCAAACAGCTCTGTCCTGCCCTGCCCCACCCCGTCCTTTCCCTGGTGAAAGTTCTCACCGCTTCTGGTAGGCTTCGTTTCTGCAAAAACAAACAAGCAAACACAGGGCTCAGGCTGCAGCCAAGGCTACCATAGCCTGGGACCCTCTCTGAGCCAGGACAAGTACTCATGGGTGCCCCTACCACACAACACATGCTTTAGTAGCCTTCAGACACAGGACCCTCCCAGAGCCAGCTGTCTGAGAAAGAAGGGTTCAAGTAGATGGGGAACGTGAGGCCCAAAGAGGGTCTCAGGTTACCCAGAGTAGCAGGGGGAAAGAACTGTATTCCAGAGTTCCCTCCACACTCCCACCCCTGCCCCTTCCTCTGGCCTTCTTCCAGGACCCACACCTATCCCACTATACCCGCTGGGGCTCAGCTCTGCCTTTTGTAGAGACTCCTGTCCTTGTGTAAGTCTTGGAACTTCACAGCCTTTCTGTGATGTTAACAGTTCGTGGTACATTGCCTCATTTAGCAAGGGGAGAAACTGAGCCCCAGAGAGTTGGGTTTTGGTTTTGTTTTTCCTCTAGGTTTATGCTATTTTTATTCTTCAGGTTTAATTGTTTTTAACTGTGGTAAATATATGGGTAACAAAACACTTGTCATTTCATTAATCTTTACAGGTACAATTCTGTGGCATTGAATATACTTCTTGGACTCCTGATATGGCGCTGTCGGATCAGCACTGGACTGTTAACCACAAGGTCAGTAGTTCAAACCCATCAGCGGTTCCTCAGAAACCCTATACATGGTCACTATGAGTCGCAACCAACTCAACAGCAGTTAACAACAACAGTTAGGTTCATTACGTTTACATCATCACCTTTAACAGCTCCCAAATTAAGAGCTATGAAGCACTTGACAAACTGTGTATCATCCATCTGCAGGGGCCAGTCTAGTCTTCTCTACATCATTCCAATATGAGAGTGTGTGCTGCTGAAGCAAGTACCCAGGGAGTTATAAGAGCCGTGCCCATGGTTGAATGACAGCTCAGTAAAACCTGTCTCCCCAGAGAGAGAGGACTTCCTCCAGTGGTGCCTTATACCCATTTGACACATCAGGCTCAGATACTGAAGAGAGAGTTGACTCACCCTGAGCTGCTGGAAAGGGCTTCTCGGGAAGCTGGAGGCCACTAGGCCGGAGAGCAGGGCCAGGGCCACGCAGAACCTCAGAGTAGGTGCCATCACTGATCTCACAGTTTTGGCCTAAGCTCCTTATATGGGAAACACTGGTGTTTTCCAAGTGGGGTGAGTGACCCGCAGCCCAGGCGGGAACAGTATGTGGGCGGCTCCTCCGGGAAGCTGCGCTGTGGGTGGAGTAATAGCAGGTGCCCTGTGACCTGGATCTGCCTGTTCCAAGGGGACCTGGAGGGTACTGTCAACAGTGTTGCGAATTCAGTCCTGATGAGCTGGAGGATATGGAGCCAGGCCCCAGACACACACCACCACCACAGGGAAGCAGAAGGCCACAAATGGGCCCAGGGTCTCCCTGGGTGGGAGCAGTGGTGACAGAATAGGGTTGCATTTAGAGCAAACAGACTCAACTCTGGTCTGGCCTCCTGGGTCAACCCATCCCTTCTCAAGTCAGACTGGCTCAAAACCAGACCCATCACCTAAGGCACGGACAACTCTTCCCACTGAACCACTGATTCACTCCCCTCCTACAACTCCCTTACCTCAGGAAAGGGACAAACTGAAAGTCCTGTGGTCCAGCTTGCTCTTCTATCTGGTTCCAACTTGCTCTCCCAAACCACTGTCCTCCCTCTGGCATGTCCTTGTCTTCTTTGCACAGCTAGCTAAGGCATCCTTCCTCTGGAGGCCTTCCTCTTCCATCCCCTTGCCAACCACAGGACAGCTATGCTCCACAATCTAAGCTCCCTGAGGACTCACCTCTGTCCTTACTGTGTGTTGGGGACCCAAGCTCCTGGAGGGCTGGGCTGTGTCACAGTCACCCTGAGCTTCAAGGATCTATCTAGTCAGGGTCTTGACTGCCTTTATTGCTCAGAGATTCATCCCCCTAAAAGTCTTTGGTGAGACAGGAACTCCAGATACCAGCATAATGGATGCTTCAGGACCTGTTCCTCTCCCAATGGGGTGGGACCTCCTGTTCTACTTCAAGGCCCTGCCAACCACCTGCCCCTTCAGGGGTTCACCATGTGTCTGGCATACCCATGGCTACTTGTGCAAAGCTGACCCACTGACGCTTTCTGTCTGTCCACTACTCAACAGAGTAGACAAGGATGCCTGGACCCAAGGTAGTTGATGTGTGGCCTGGACAACACCTTGGCTGACAGCTCTGGGCTTCTGTGAGATCTACAGAAAGATCTGGTTGTTGGTAGCTGAGAAACAGAGAGCGAGATAAGGCAGAATGCACAAGTCTTACGGCAGCAACATGGCAGAGCAAGGAGGGTGTGGACCTACTAATGAAAGTGACAGAAGCAATTGCAGAGAATTGCAAGTCAATAAAATGGTGGTGGATTGGCAAGATGCAGCTGGTGAGGAGCACAGGACTTTGTGGTTGTGACCTGGCTGGGTGGTGCCTGTCTTCCTAAGACTTTCTGAATCCCTTCCAACCTCCAATGCCAGAGGGCACCAAGCTCAAGGCTGGCTGAGGCCAACTCCACTTAGCATGGGGAGAAGACCCTCTCAGATCTGTGCTGCCCCAGTCCTGCATGAATGGTGGAATGTCTGGTCCTCATACTTCCTGGCTTCTGGAATGTCTCATTTTGTGTTGCTAGAGCCTGTAGTCACTGACCCAGGTCATTTCCCAATGACTCCTCCCCAAGGCCCTGTGAAGCATTCCCAGCCCCTTCCCCTTCAGCCACTCCTCCATCCCCTTTGTTTTTGACTCAGGGGAGGGACAACTCGAAATAATAATTCTAAGGCTGAGGAAGATACCCCTGGAGCATGGAGGGACCCATTCATCATGTGGACTGTAGACTTCAATGGAATCCTGGTGTGGCGCTGTGGGTTAATGTACTGGACTGCAAAGTTGGTTTGAACTGCAAGGTTGCCAGTTCAAGCTCACCAGCTGCTACTCAGAAACCCTATACAGGGTCACTATGGGTTGGAAACGACTCAACAGTACTTAACAACAAAGAGAAAGACCTGCAATAAGATGGATTGATCCAGTGGCAGCAGCAATAGGCTCAAATATAGCAACAATTGTGAGGATGGCACAGGACCAGGCATTGTTTCGTTTTGTTGTGCATAGGGTCACTATGAGTTGGAACCTAACAACAACACTATGAGTTGCATCTAACAACAAGAACAAAAAGTGATCTTCAGGTTCACCCCTATTAAGGCCTCTCTTGGGCAAGGCCTTGCCCAGGGTAACCTGACACACACTCTCCCTTGAGAAGTCCAGGATACTCTGGGAACGGGTTTGCCTCTGAAGCTGGATCCACTGGCTGCCCCACAGACTGCCCTGAAGGACTCTGCGTCACCCCTCCTGGTTCGGCCTGTTAAGTTCTACACTTGTGTTGCTGCTCTGGTTGCACAGAGCCAGTGCTTATGGTATCTGAGCCTTCACAGACCTCATTTGCTGTGGTAGTTGTTCAGAAGCCAGCAGAGATCAAGTCAGCAGCCTTTGGAAAGGAGTGGTGGAGGCCCTGTCCACACTCACCTTAGAGGAGCCAGTGACTCTCCTGAATGTGTATTCCTTCCTTGCACCTGTGATGCTATACTTCAGCTGTTACACCCATGAAGGAATAATGATGGTGTCATGTCAGACATTAGTGTGAGAACAGAGGGGCACAGCTCCTGGGCCCCTGGAATCACAGCTTCAGGACTGTGGCTTTCTCAGCCTTTGGGGAATACCAGCTGGGCCATCAGTGGTTGGTGACCACTAATAGGGTAACCAGGCTGAGGGTGGAGGCCAGGAGCAACCTCCTGAAGCTCTGAGCCCAGGGCGCAGCCTCCAGTCCTAGTAGGACTTCAGGACCCCAAGTTCATGAATGAGTATTTCTTCCTTGTAGTCATTTTAACTAATGTTTTGGAATATCCAGAAGCAAGTCCCAACTTTCCCCAGGTCTCCCAACCCAAACACTGACACTAAGCAGCATGGGTTCAAATCCCAGCTCGACCATTTATAGACTCAGTAATTCTGGACAAATTACCAAACCTTTCTGTGCCTCAATTTCCTCAGCTGTAATTGACCATGATCAAAATACCACTGTAAGCATCAGTTTAGTAAATTCAAGGAGGGTACTTAGAGCCTTGTCTGGCTACAGGAAGCCTGGGGTTAACTGTGACTGTTGGCTGCTGGTCATTCCTGGCATACTTCCAGAAGTTTCCACTGATCCCTGGACAGGGGGCGTTGTGAGTAGGGCCACTTGGGTACTCATAGGGCATGGGGTCAGGAAACTGTAGAGAACAGGCTGCGAATGGGTGGGGCTGAATTGGCATTAGCTCCCTTCCTACTTCTGACTTGCTTCTGCTGGTCCTGGGCCTGAGGCCATCAGGGTTCTATATGGAGATCCCTGAATCCTTTTGAGGGGCAGTCTCTTAGGATGCCTCCCTACCATCCTCAAAAGGAAGTCAGCACTTGCTGAACATACCAATTTCTGTTGATTCTATTTCAACTCGTGGTACCCCTATGTGGGTCAGAGTAGAACTGTGCTCCACAGGATTTTCAATGGCTGGTTTTTTCGAAGTAGACCATCAGACATTTCCCCCAAGGTGTCTCTGGGTGGACTTGAATCTCCTTCTTTTTGATTAGCGCATTAACCATTCACACCACTCAGGACTCAGTAGCTGAACATAGCCTCTCTTTAATGGAAGTCATCGGGTGCTTTGGTATGAGGCACCAGCTCAGAAAGGAAGGTGTGGCCTGGGCATCAGGTCAAGATGTTCTCTTCCTCTGTCAAGACCCCAGGGAGGTGTAGGACTCAGAAGATGTCAGGGACGATGTAGTCTGTGTGGATGCCATCGATCAGCCCAGCACCGTTGTTGTGGACGAACCAGCAAGTCACCTCAGTCCCATGCCGGGGATCCTTACTGTAGTCTCTTTGTAAGCCCCTGGGAGAGATGAATCAGCTGCACCCCTTGGGCCTGGCAGGGCTGCACCTCCTCCAGAAAGCACCCCATCCACCCATTTAACACTCAGAAGGCTCAGACCATCAGTGGGAGACACAGAGCTGCCAAGGGCAGAAGTGGTAGGACAGAGGCTGACCCACCTGGTCACTGTCAGCTGGTGGTTCTTTACCACCATTGTGGCATCCAACTTTGTTGGGTGGGCGCCTGGGTGGATATTGGACACTTCAATATCAAAGGGATGGAAGAATTGTCCTAGAAAGACATATTGGAGGCCGTGGTTACCTACTAAAGACCCTGTCCCTACTTTGTACACAGTAGGTGCTCACTAGACATTTAGAGAGTTGCTTGAATAATTATTAAGGGCTTAACTGTTTCTGATAAACTCTGGCATCAAAAGTCACCTTTAGTTGATCAACAGGTGAATGGAGAAACATAACTCGGTATATACACACAATGGAATACTACATTGCATATACTACAATGGAACATGAAGGCCTGATGCATGCCACTACATGGATGAAACTTGACAGCATCATGCTGCATGATCTCATTTATAGGAAAACAGCAAACATATAGGAGTCAAAGATCATTAGTGGTTACCAAGGTTGAGAGTAAAGGGGCAAGGGGGAGTTTGGGTTAGAGAACATTGAGTTTAGGTTAATGGTGGTAATATGATTTGGAAGGACTCTGGTGTGGTGCTGTAGGATCAGCACTGGACTGTGAACCACAAGGTTGGCAGTTCAAACCCATCAGCTGCACCTTGGAAACCCTACGCAGGGTGGCTATGAGTCAGAACTGACTCAATAGCACTTAACAAAAAACAAAAAGTGATTTGGAAAAAGGGTTGCGAATGAGAATACTTGGTTGCACAGCATGAAGAATGTAATGAATGTTACTGAATTGTACACGTAGAAAGTGTTGAGATGGTGTTATGTTTTGTTATGTATATTTTCACCACAATTTAATGTTAAGACAAGGAGGGTGAAAGCCACTTTTAGTTCACCCACTATAGAAAAGCAGTTACATTTTCAATGGTTTTTACAAAAATTCCAAAGGAATCTGGTTGAGGAGAGAGGTTTGAGGAGGAGGAGCTGGGTCTGTAGGAAGGCCACACAGGAGATGCGGCCAATCCCAGCCATGAGGTCTCTATCTTTCTGCTTGCTAATCAGACTTCTCCCACTTGCTCCCAGGCTCACTTAAGCTTCCATCGCTTGCATTCTAATTACATGACCCTCACCAGGAAAACCTGTCTCTCGCAGTTCTGAGCCTTAGAGGTGGGCCTTTCTTGGTGCCTAGCTATAAAGCTGACCAATGGCCCCCAAAGGCTGGCCAGATGAGGACATCACCTTCAATGCCCTACCCCATGGTTCTGCCCCCCTGGCCAGCCATACCCAGCAGCCCATGCGTCCGGGTGGACATCCGGTGACTATCTAGCACATAGAAGCCCAGGAAGTCCTGGTGGACGGCACTCCCCTTCCATACTCGGTGTAGGACGACCTGGAAGGTGCCCCTGTCGTCTATGGACACCACCAGGCTCTTCTTCTTGTTGATGGTCACTAGCACCCTGTAGGACCAGGCTGGACATGAGGGCAGGAGTGACCATACTGCATCCCCTCTTCATTCAGCCACCCTTGTTCTCCAGGACCACTTTTCATGACTCCACCCAGCACCCAGTCCCAGAAGGAGATGATGCGGTGTTACTTGCCTCAGCTTCCCTCTCACTCATTGCTTTGGGGTCCTTACAACTTACCAGGCCCTCCGTGTAAAAGTCATCGTGCAATTGTCACCCTGACTTAGAGAGGTTAAGTAACTTACTCAAGGTCAGACAGGACTTGGGCTCCAGCCTACCTAGTATTAGAGTCTGTGTTCTTTGGCCCTGCCCACCCCCATCACCTGTGTCTCCCACACCAGCCTCTGCCTTTCTCTTTCTATAGTTATGCTGTCCAGCATCAACCCCCAGTGCTCAGCAGAGTTTGTTGAATAAACAAATGAGTGAGTGAATGGAAGAACAGACACAAGACAAGACAAACTAGGAAAGTCCAGAGAGCTCTGGAATTCAGCAGAGGAAGAAGCTAGGAGGGCTTCAGGGCCTTTGTGCTGAACCTGGAAGGGTGAGGGGACTTTGTTTGGAGGGAATTGGGATTGGCTGCAGGTTGAGGACATGAAGGGAGCCAAGGCATCTAGGCAGCTAAGTCTCAAGCTCATGTTCTGGAACTGAGAGAAATGGGAGGTGGGGTAGCTCATAGTGTCTGACATGTTTGCTCAGGCCACCATGAACATCACCCCTAACCTGTTTACGGGATGAGGCCCTGACAGGCTTGGCCACAGAGCTGGCACTGGGAGCTTCCTTCATGCCTTGGCCAAACTGTTCACACACATCCCACACCACACCTCCCAGGCCCAGCCCCAGCCCGGTTACTGGTCCTGTCGCAGCACAGCCTGGTCCATCCAGGAGAATGTGGGCCCGCCTGAGCCAGGGTTCAGGGTAATGTTCTGAGGAGTCACTTCCAACTGAAAACCCGTTGCTGGGTTTGCGATCCCCAGCCTCCCGAAGTATGTGCCCTCATTCTGAGCTTCGTCGCCAATGAGCTGTCCATTCACTGAGAAGCCTGCAGTGCGTGGAGAGGCCGTTGGGTCAGGGGAGGGCTCTCACTGGACCCCTGCCCAGCGGGCCTTTCCTTATGTCCTGCGTTGTTCCTGAGACACATCCCATATCCCCTGCTCCCTGCTCCTCTGGCCCACAGCACTTCCTCCTTGCTTCTACTCTCCCCTGCCCTCACCCCAACCACACAAACTCTCTGCTCATTGGCCAGGTTCTGTGCTCTGAAGAAATCTTGCCTCCCCAGGACAGGACTTGTGCTTTATCCTTCTCTATGTGACTACACTCTCTGACATAGTGGCAGGCACACAGCAGTGCTGGAAATTTGTAGGGCACTGCAGAGACCTGAGCAGCCAGAGAAACTCCTCCCCACCTCCACTGCCCCAGCCCAGCAGGTCTCTCATCTTGAAATGATCATCAATGGATTCCTTCACCTACTTGTCTGACTGCCTTCCTTAAACTTCAGGAGAGTGAGGACTGTGTCTCAGTCCCCACTGCATCCCTAGCCCTGGCAGGAGCTCCACAAGCATTTGCAAAGGAATAACTGGACAGGGAGGGAGGGGAAAAGGAGGGAGAAGGGCCCAGTGACAGAGAGAGGGTAATTTCCCATTTCCAGTGGCTCTCCTGGGAAAGATGGACTCTGGGGCTCCCTGTAGCCCTGCTGTGATGGAAGGTGGAGTAGGACCAGTTGTATCATTTGTGGGACCCAGTACAAAATGAAACTGTTAAGGACTTCCTAAGAGTTACCAGCAGTATGAGGTGCTACAGAGTTGAGTTGGACTCACGGTAACCCCATGTGTGTCAGAGTAGAACTGTGCTCCAGAGGGTTTTCATTGGCTGGTGTTTCAGAAGTAGATTGCCTGATGTTTCTTCTAAGGCACCTCTGGGTGAACTCAAAACTCCCATATTTTTGTTAACAGCCAAGAGTAACTATTTGTTCCAGCCAGGTACAAGATCACAACAGCAGAGCATTAAACCAAACACAGGGCCCTCATGAGCATGGATCCTGGAGACCAGTCCTGTGTAGGTAGGGCTCAGTTAAGTGAGTGGGGAGAGAAGGCAAGTTGAGTGTGAAAAGGTAGAGTGTGCACAGGATGGTGGGGAGTGGAGGCTGCGGCCCCTGTCCTGTCAATTTCTGACAAGGGTGGAGGATCCCTGGTCCCACCACAGCCGGGATCTGGCAGAGGACTTGACATACCTGTGTCAGGGTCTTGCACCAGGCTCAGGATCACACCAGGCTCCTCATTGATGTTGAAGCACAAGGTGACTCCTTTCTGGGGCACGTGGATGATGAAGTGGGGATCAGTGTCCACTGAGGACAGAGCATGGATTCCATTAGGCTAGGCATTGGGCAAAGATTCAACTAGGCAGGTCCAGTGGAGAGAGCCAGCCAGGCAAGGTAGGCACCAGGCAGGTGGGCATCCCACAGACCCAAAGACTCACCGCCAGTCACCTGATCTGGTAACTTCATGTTAATGGAGCTGGACTGAGTAGGAGAAGGCTGCAAGGCAGACAGCTTATACACTGGCAGGCAAGAGTGACAAGAAGGTGACTGGGTGCCGGTCCCTTGCTAGATGCTCCCTCCCACCCAGGTCCACAGAAGAGGTGTGGACACAGAGCCTCACGTATCCTTGATTGCCTCTCAGGATATGGGAATGGAGGTGGGCTGACCCCCTCTCTGTGTCCTCCCCTGGGGATGTGGTTGGCTAGCATATAGGGTGGGAGGCCAGATCCACTCAGGGGACTATCTGAGGATTTCTGTGAGAGGCAGTGAGGAGAGCAGGAACAGAGGATCAGGGTGATGACCTGAGGGCTTTGGTCACGACTAAATGCTCAGCCTGAGGGACAGCAGCTTGTGGAGTTGTAGTGGGGTAAGACATCAGGATGACCAGCACTTACTCCTTCCGGGTCCCACCAACTCTGTAGAAGACAATGACAGAGGACCACGTCTCTACTGAGCGCACACGAAAACCACACATGCCTCATTCTGCCAGCGCATCCTGGTTTCAGAGATGAGTCAGGCCACCTATAGGAATCCCAGCCCTCCTCCAGGAACCCTGGTTTTTCTCACATACACACACACACACACACACACACACAGGTGTTTGGTGGGTGCTGGCAGGGTTTGGGGCTGTGCAAAGGCTCATAAAGCACAAAGGATGTAGCAAAGAGGGCAGGGGCATCACAGGGGCAGAAAAAGACTAGAGAAAGAAGTGGAGGCAGTAAAGATGTGGGAGAGGCAAGTCTCATACTATAGGACTGAGTGCTGGCCACTGTATAGTCACCTGAACCCACGAGATTTAAAACTCACCTGAGGGCAGGTCATCTACAAGGGAGAAAATGGAAAGAAAATTAAAGCCCAGGAGGTGGTTGACCCTCAAAAGTTACCGTATGGCCCACAGCCCACCCCTCTGTGAACCCACACTGCCCATACCCTCCGAGGTCTTGTCAATGGTGGGCCCCAGGCCATCCTGGTCAACGATGCCACTGATGGTCATGGAAGTCATTGGAGTCACAAACTGGTAATCCAGTGACATCTTCAGGGCCTGGGCCGACAGGTTGGCCTTCTCCTCCCCTTCTACTTTCATCCTAAGACAGACACCAGCTCTAAGGCCCACAGCTCAAACCAGAATGGACATGCACTCCCAGGTTCTTACACCCATTCATTCATTCAGTCATTCAACAAACGTGTAGTAAACATCTATAGTGCTGTGAGGGTACTCATGATGTAATGACCTCCCACAGAGAAAACTGGAGACCAGGGTTGAGGATCCACAGAGAATCACAGAGAATTTAACGTCTTTTAGACATAGGCTAAATGGTCTAACCTCTGGAGCCTCAGTTTGCTGGTCTGTTTGTTATTGTTGTTATTAAGTTGAGTTGATTCCAACTCATAGTGACCCTGTATAGGGTTTCCAGGGAATGGCTGGTGGATTTGAACCTCCGACCTGGTGGTCAGCAGTTTAGTGCTTATCCTACAGCACCACACGTGGCAAATCTGTCTGGACAGAGTGGTGGCTCATGGTAGGCAAACAGCCAACAGATCTGTATCTGCCCAGTTAATGTTAACTTAGTGAACAAAGCTGAAGAAGGAAAGCAAATTTGGCCTGCTGGTAACCTAGAAGGCCCAGAAACACCCCTTCTCCATTCACCTGTGGCCTGGGTCTGAGGGGCAGGAAGGGAAGATCTGGGGTATAGTATACAGCCTGGACACCCATAAGGGTCATACCGCTTGGCCAGCAGCTCCTGGATGGTGAGGTAGGCCCAGAGGCGCTCTACGTGGTTCTCCAGCATGTGACCCCGCTCATGGAGCAGTTTCTTCATCTCTTCCTCATCCACCAGGCAGGTTGTCTGAAATTCTCGACCCTCCTGAGGGTGGAGATGGGGAGAGAAGCTACGGCATTGTGCTGGGTAAAACCCTTGGCTGATTTGCAAGGATATGAATGGCCACACTATCACCCAGTCTCTGCAGCTTCAGTCTCAGTTCCTCTTCATTCCCTGAGCCTGTTCTCTTCATCCTCGTCCATACATTCATTCCTTCTGCAGATAACTGTCGACCATCCTCTATGAACCAGACCTGGTCTAGGCTCTGAGTACATAGTGGGATGGATAGGCCGGGCTCTGCCTTCATGGGATCACCCTCTCCAGGGGAGACAAACAAGCACCAACTACCAGGTTGTTTCCATCATGGTGAGCTCTGAGCAGGCTGCATCTTGTTGTGACACACAGAGATAGATATCTTCTCTCCTTGGCTACATTGTATGACCACCCCCTCCCAAGGGCTTCCTATGCTCCAGCACCACATAAGTTTACTGCACCCAACCCTTCAGTGCAGCATCACCCCCAAAGCACAAAAAAGGAAATTGAGGCCTGGAAAGCTAGAACCACTTGCCCAAGGTAGCATTACTGGTTAGGTCAGAGTCAGAGTCCAGATCAGCTGCCCTCACTCAGAGTCTATGTTCCCAACCCTTACCCACGCGGTATGTTCCAGTCCATGCCTTGAGGGTTCGGGCCCAGTCTCACACACATGTGTTCTGCATCCCAGCACAGAGCCTCCCCCACCCACCACACACACACATAGTAGGTGTCTGGGAAATGTATCCTTAGGGAGACTGAAGTGAGGAATAATGGACACTCCATTTTGGAGCAGGAAACTTCAACTTAACAAGGACATGTTGGCGCCATTGCAGATTTCCAGTGCCCAGAATGCCTACATAGAAAGGCACTTAGGCCTAGGGGGTTTGTGGTGTGGGTGGGGCACTATTGGGGCCCTTGGTGGTGAGCTGGTGAATGGATAGTGTAGAATTGGTACCTTTGGGGGATACTGGCTTCTCCACCCTCCACAGCTGTGCGCTTACCCCACGGGCCAACACATCAGCCTTGAAGCTCCTTAGTTTGTGGTCAGCAATGCGCCCAGCCACCACAATCTCTGAGCCTTCGTAGTACTGTTTATGGTACTGCTGGGTCACAGCCACCACAGTGTCCTTGGGGTACTTCATCTCCACATCCATCAGTAGGGGATTGGCTACCTGGTTGTAGAAGCCCTGCAAGAGTGCGTCAGGAGCACAGTCTCAGAGCCTGCAGGTCACCCTGGTCCATGATTCTGCTGTGGACAGGAATCCCACTCCATCTCTGCACATCATCCCCTGCTCCTCTGTCCCCACCAGCCCCATCCAGGACACCCCAGGCTGTGAACTTCTCCAGTACAAACACCACCTCCTGCACAGAATGGTGTACCCTTGGCAAGGATCATCTGATTCCTGTTCACAGTGGAGGTGTCAGGATCCCCACTATAGAGAAGGAATCAGAGGCTTAAAGAAACTAGCTCAAGGTCACACAGTTGATTCTAATCCCTTGTCAAAGGCCAAATGGCCACCAGGGCCAGGCTCCCTACACCGAGCTGTTGGCACTGTGTGTATGCGTGATTGTGTCAGGGACAGGACCTTCAGTTGCTGGGTGGCGTCACGGTCCTCGTAGATTCTCTGGGCCCGCCCATTATTCTCCATGGACATGGCCTCCAGGAAGTTGAAGTCCACTTTGTCACCGAAGCCCAGGTTGTAGAGTGGGAACCTGCCCCTGATGGTGTTGCGGATGTTCTCTCGGATTCGGGAACGGTCCGTCTCCCCTGTGGCCACACACCCGGGCAGTGACAGGAGCTGGTCCCACAGGCGTATGGGCACAAAGGGGCTTTGGGGCATACTCCTTGATGTCTGTCCTTTTTCCTGGACCCAGACCATCTCCAGTCCCTGTGGGTATCTCAAAGCAATGCCTCCTCCTGGCTCACCGGGGGGGACAGCAACAGCTTCTCCCAGGACCACTTGCAGACAGAGCCTGACCTCCATATGGATCGGTTACAGCCGATCCGATACAGCTGCCCTGCTATAAATCCTCCTGCGAGGCCTTGCTACCTCCCTTCTGCCCTCATTCACCCCAGTCTGAAGACCCTGCCATGCTCACTCCTGACTTTTATTCATGCTTCCTCCTCTGTCACACACCCCTCCCTCTCTCCCAGCTCCTCCTTCCAGACTGAGCTCAGAGTCACCTCCTCCAGGAGGTCTTCCAGGACCCTGCTCAGCCAGGCTCCCCTTGTCTGTGGGCCCGCTGCCCCCTAGCATCCTATTCTTCCAGGGTTTTTGACAACATATCTTTTCCTGGGTTTGCCTCCCTGAGTACACTGGACCCAAGGCTGCTTGAGAGTAGAGACGTATCTCATTCTCTTGGTATCTCTTCTTGGTCTTTACTCCTGTTCTTGGCATACAGTAGGTGCTCAATAAACAGCTGATTAAACTCCACCTAGGAATCCTGCCTGTCCTCCAGGGCCATGTGCAGCCCTGTGCCATGTACAACCTACTTATTTTTCAACTCACAGGACAGAAGTGTGCCTTGGCGTTCCCACAGACTTTGGTCTGGACTGAGCTTATTTAGACCAATGCTTGCCTTTATTCTGAGCCTTTCTTGCCCCTCTTCTGCATCCCTGATGACTGGTTTTCTAACCTCAGCTTGGATGGGTCCACCAATGAGGAGATCAGTACCTCCCAAGACAGCCTATGAGGTGCTTACCCTCAGTGGGCTCCCCATCTGTCAACATGATGAGAATTGAGGCATGCTTGCTGAGCATTGGTTGGCTTTTCTGAGCTCTATTCAAAATCTCAATTCCCCGGAGCAAACCTCCATTCAGGTTTGTGGCTACAAGAGAGTGAAAGCAGAGTAGCATACATTCTCATTCCGAATGGACAAAGGCCATGCTGAGGTGGCTTGAGACCCTTGCTCTTACCCCCAGCCACAGAGAAGCGTTGCACAAAGTCTCGAGCTGCTTGCAGATTAGCAGCAGATGCCTGCACCAGTGAGCCCCTCCACGATTGCACTTGGGAACCAAAGAGAACCAGGTCAAAGTGGTCTTCCGGACGCATATCATCCAGGATTTTAAGGAGTGCCTCCTTGGTCTGCAAGGATAGAACAGTAAGTGGAGGACCCTGTCCCCAGGGTGGTCCTTTTTCAGAAATACATGGAACAATTGGTGCTATGAAGTGCCGTCAAGTTGGTTGCGACTCATTGCAACCCTGTATTGGGTTTCTGAGGTTGTATATCTTTGCAGAAGCAGAAAGCCACATCTTTCTCCTGCTGAGTGGGAGGTGGACTTGAACTGCTGACCTTGTGATTTGCAGTCCAGTGCTTATCCCACAAAGTCACCATGCTCCCCATGGGACAATGGGACATGAGGAATAAACAGAAGGAAATGGATAGGGCAGTGAGGCAGTCCCAGGAGAAGAACATCCTGCTGGATCTGGGATGGATGAGGGGAACAGGGAAGGCAAAGCGACCCAGCATAAGGAGAAAAAATGACCAGGAGTCCAGGTGGGGCAGGATGGAGAAAGAGTATCCCAGGAGACTGTATTTCTAAAACTCTGCTTGTCCAGCTGTGGTCCACTGTACCATGGACAAACCTTTAGGCCCCTGCAGACTGTTCCCGAAGCTTCCAGACTTATACCCTGCACTTGTAGTGTAGACACTTCATCTCCCTGTGGACACTGTTATCCTTCCAATTTCTGGCACGCAGGAAAAGTGAATGCACTTGCCCAAGATTGCACAAGAATTTCCTGGTAAAATCACCCTGTCTCTGAGCAGTAGCAAAAAATTCTAGACCCAGACTATGGAGGGAAAACCAGCATGGGGTAGGTGAAGGGTCAGAAGATAAGGTCTAGTAGGTAAACTGTTGGAACTGCGGCTTACCTGCTTTACTTTCTGACCTTGCATTGAGCCACTGATGTCAATCACAAAAACCAGGTTCTTGTTCAGGTTCGTCAGGTTTTGGGGTGCCAAGAAGTGGGCAAAGTGATTATTGGCAACCTGAAGCACAGAGGATGAGTGAGGCCTCTCTCCTGAGCACCCCCTGCCTGCCATCTGGGTCTTAGGTCACAGCTTCAAGCTCACCAAGAGGTCACAGATTTGGTCTCGTTTGACATCATAGGTCACCTTGAAGTCCCCATTCAACAAAGATGTGGAGCACGTGGGGCAAGACTTCTGCTGTCTCATAGTAGGGTTGAAAAGCACGTGACCCTGGACCACCAAGGATGTGAAGTTACTGGTCATGCAGCTGCAAACGGGATGTTTGCAAAGACAACATAGAAGATGTGTGTGCACAGCCATAGAAGTAAGTCTGGTGGTTGCTGAGTGCACCCATGTAGATGGTAAGAGAGAAGTCCAGTTTCTTTGCTCATAGTCATCTAAATCACTGGGATTTTCATAGTAAGCAGTACTGTACCACTTGGGTCTATAAATAATTAACAGTGTGATATCATGAGGGACTTCAGTCAACTCAAACTGACAATTGAAAAAGCAAGGCTACAGAACTGTACTGGGAAACAACGCCCAACTAGATAGACCCTGAATGCCAGTCCATAGAAAACAAAGCAAAGGGCAGAAGGAAAGGCCCAGAGAGGGAATGAGGCCTGGTCTGATTTGGTGCTGGTCCTCAAGGAAACTAGGGGTGATTTTTATATTTTTCCATGTTTCTGTACTTTTGCACATTGTCTTTAAACAACTTTTTAATTTTATTTTTTGTTTGTTTTAAAAGTAAGATATGCTCATGAGGAAAAAACAACAACAACAAAAAAACCTCAAAATGAATTGTTAGCAAGACAAAGCCCATAACAGCAAGTATGTTTGCTAACACTCTAAGGTATCATATCTTGTTTAAAGTGAAAGAACTCCTCCCCCACCACCAAGGAGGAAAAATTGTAAAAAAAACATTTCTTTGAAAGGAACTGCTTCCCAAGGCTGTTATTGTTGTTAAGGGCCATCAAGTGGGTTCCGACTCTTAGTGAGGCTGTAAAGCTTTGCAGGGGCAGAAAGCCTCATCTTTCTCTTGGGGAATAGCTGATGGGCTCGAACTGCTGGCCTTGTGGTTAGAAGTCCAGTGCTTATTCTACAGAGCCACCATGTTACTGCAACCCAAGGGACGTGAGAACTAAAGGATTTATTTGCTCATTTCTTGAACTAAGGGTCAGCTAGGAAATGGGGGAACACTAGCTGGGAATCACCCACACCCTACATTCCTCCAGACCTGGGGAGGGGCCCGTAGGGGGTCCTTGCAAGTGGGTTGCAAGTCTCTTGATGAGACTAAAAGTCTTTCCAAATATATTTCCAAGAAAATGGGAACTTGAGTTTTAACTACAACAGGATCTAAAACTTGCTTAAACAAAAACCAGTTGCTGTTGCTTTCAAATTGATCCGGGCTCATGGTGACCCTGGGTGTAAGGGTAGAACTGTAGCTCCATAGGACTTTCAATGGCTGGGTTTTTCAGGACTAGATTGCCAGATCTTTCTTCCAAAGTGACTCTGGGTGGACTCAAACTTCCAACTTTTTGGTTAGCAGTCAGATGCGTTAACTATCTGCAACAAACACCCAGGGACTCCAAGTTTTACTCAAAGGATGCATTTCCCTGTATGCTTTCCCATGGGATTGAGTCTCAAACAGACTAGCAACTCTCCCCAATCAAATGATGAAGTCAAAACTTCATACTGATGCCTTCCCTAGCTCAGTATGCAGTATGCAGGCTTTTTCTAATTGCTCTGAGAACCAGGTGTGCTGAGTTTCTCTGAAATACCAATCACGTGGCACCTGTCTCCCTCACCCAAGGGCAGCCTCGCTCCTGGGTCAAGTCTGGACGGTTCCTAAGGGGTTGAAAGAGGCTGCAAAAGACCAAGGGCCTGCCACCATCCCCAGGCACCCTACACACCTTTTTCCCTGAGAAGGACTTCTTGATGGTTTGCTCCAGGTCCTTGGGAAGGAAGGAGGCCTGGGCGTCCAGCTTGCTGATCCCCTGGGGCTCAAAGATGTCCACATCGATCTGCAACATTGAAGCCAGTCCTGCTCCAAGGGTCTCATCTGGGTCACTCAGTAACCAATATGTGTCCTGACTACCTTCTGCCCTCAATATAAGACTTGGCACCTCAACTCAGTCACTATTTAGGTGCTAGTGACAATCATAGGTGTCCAAGAACTTTCTGGTTTACAAACTTTCTGGACATTCAGTATCCCTCATGATCTTTGTAGCAGTTCTGAGACGTGCAGAAAAGTGCCACTTAACAGTTGAGAAAACCAAAGGTCAGAGAAGAGGAGGTTGGAGAGTTGGCGGAGCTCCCTGCCCAAGAAAAGACCACTGGAGCCCACCCCGAGGAGTCTGTTCCCTCCACTGTGTGCTCAGGTTGGTGTGTGCTAAGGTTGGTATGTGCTAATCTAATATCAGAACTCTGCGAGAGAAAGAGTCCACTCCTGGAACAGCTCCTTAGTGTCTGGTCACCTTCAATCTACCTCAAATTTCTGCACCAGCTGCTTGGGCTTGACTTTAATGACGATGTCATACTGCCCAAGTTTTCGCTTCAGCACCTCCTCGTAGGTCAGCTTGAATATGGCCTTGCTCCGGGGACTGATGGTGATGTGGATGGTGAATTGTTCCATATTCCTTCCTGAGGCCCTAGACACTCCATGGAAGCAATGGCAGACAGACAGACGACAGGTGAATGGTACCTGGATCCTTGCCACCCAAAGCATGGTCCTCAGACAATTGCTCTTAGTTTGGGGATGATCCCAGGTTCCGTTGGTCCTCACCCTTATCTCAGTTGGCTGCTTAGGATTGGGATCTGAGGACTAGGGCCCAGCTCTCCCTGATCTGCCCACCAGCCTTGTCCATGGACACATGCTGACATTCGGGGCTGGTGGTTTTCTCACTGTCCCATATACTTGGGGCTGTCCTGCACCCCAGACCACCTTGCAGCCCTCAGCTGGGGTGGGCTGGGGATGCTAATGCCAGCACTCACCGGACAAGCCCAGCATTCTCTCCCAAGATAGCAGCTTTCCGATATTGCTTCCACGCCGTCATTTTGTCCTTGATGTTCCCCACATATGCATTTTTATCTTCTGTGCTTCTGGGAAGGGAGAAGGTCTTCAGGAAAGATGGTTTGTCTTTGACCACACAGGTCCCTCCTGTGGGAGGTGCTCAGAGTTTTGACCCAGAGTGTCCCTGTCTATGCCAGCACTTACAGGAAGGCATCCCTGGCCTGCCCCACCCTGTCCACTAAGTGATGCTAAGGGGCCCCAGGCAGTGAGGGGGCAGCCAAAGTAACTGTATCCTTTTGCCCCCAAAATTCAACAAGAAGGCTCAGATCCTTTGTTCCTTGGGTCCTACATGGAAAACATGTTGTCTGAGGCCATAGTTTTCCACGCAAGATGTTGAGGACAGACCTATAGGACTTCTTCCTCCTCCCAAAGCTGGACCTGAACTGTGGAAAGGAAGAGATAATCTATACATCTGGTCACTCTGAGCCACAGTACCAGGCTGAGACCTGGTGAAAGCACACCTCTGGGGGAGTGAGGGCTGGGATGGGCTGTGGGAACCAGACAGGGTACACACATGGTAAAATCACTGATGAAGGCTGTCTTGGGAATTTCCACATCAAATGCTACTTCCTTAGCCTCATAGGCATTGTTGACCACTTGGCTGGTGATGACATAGTGAGCAAAGCGAGAGGTGACTTTGCAGTTGATATTCATACTCTTGATGACCACACCATCAACCTAACATGAGACATGAGGGAGCTGTAGCCTGGGGTAGGGACCTCTAAGCCAGTGAGAACCCCCCCTTGATGTTCTGGGGCTCAGAATATGACTCAGATACAAGGTATTGAGATGCCAGAAGAACAGAGCAGGTCTCTCAGATAGACCCATTCTCCTTGCCTGAGATCATACAGCAAGGACAAGGTGAATGAAAACAAGTCCCCATTTCTGGAGATGGGAGTGCCCTTTGCCCATGGCACTGAAAGAGAGGGGTACACTTCTAGGGCCAGAGGGAAACAAAGATATAATAACAGACCCCTCCCAGAGCCCTTTGCAGAGAATCTGACTCACTGTGTCCACAGCCTGTCGCTTCTGCAAAAATAAAATCAAGTGTAAGTCTAAAGGCTCAGGGGACCATGGCCTGTCACAGAATGTGAGTGGGGACCAGCCTGTGAGCTCTACCCTTCCAGTCTCACTTCCCCAGTTCTTTTGGGGGGGGGGTCACCCATCTCATCAGGGGTGGTGGAGATGGATGGGGGTGATCCTGGCTCCTGGGGTGGTGTTCTCATGTCTTTTTCAGGCCCCATCTAGTCCCAGATGCCTGTTTCTGTCCCACAGGCTTAGCCACATACCTCATTGCCCCTAGGCCTGCCTGTGGCTGAGCCCCGAGCCGGCAAGGCCTGCAAAGCAGAGAGCGATATCAGGCACATGCCCAGCAGCATTCGTAGCCCCATGGCGCCGTCCATGGTCTTGAGGCCCCTACTGCTCCGTTACTTCACTCCAACCAGTGATCAATAATGTGCTGGATAAACACGGATTAAACATTAGACAAGGTGAGGGCAAACACCACAAGGTAGGGAATCAAAACTAGCTGGGAAACTTTCTTCTTGGGAGGAGTTTCCAGCTCTGGGCTTTGTAAACTCCTGGGCAGACTCCAGACTGTGCCCCTCTGTGTAGAATTACAATCAGCCAATGAGAATGATGAAGACTCCTCTGGTTTAACCTTGGGGGACACCTTGGGGATGATACAAAACAATACCATTGATACAGTGGTAGGTGGCCAGGAGCCACAGTTAATGATGGCTGACTAAACTTCATTAGGCATCACTTTTAAAACTTTTTAAGCATCAGCCAACTCTTCAGACAGTCATGCTCTGACCACAGAGGCAGATACTGAGGCTTAGAAAGTGTTGTGGCTTCCAACAATTTCTATATTTCCGATGGTGTCAACCCCAGCAATGTTTCTGCCAGGGGAGACCTAATAGGTGACCCATTCTTTAGGCTACTTGCTTCATTTCTCTGGACCTTCCCACCCAGATTTGGAAAGAAAATTTGACTTGGGCAGGGATGCTTGGAGGTAAAGAGGTAAAGATGAACAACACTCTCATAATTGAGGGCCTGTGATGTGTCATGCATCACTCTAAGCCCTTTGCTGCACGTGTTTATCCCCACAAGGTCTCTGAGATCAAGTTCCAATTTAAATTCAGGGCAGTGCCTGTAGGGAAAGTGGTTCTCTATGGTTCGGAGGCTTCTTGAGGCTTCTAGGGTTTCTCCAGCCCCAGCATTCCTCGGTTCCTGGGGGATCTGCATGTGACATCCATCTGCCCCACCCCCATTTGTGCTTGTCATTCTCTGTGTCTATGCTACTCTTTGAAGTCCTCATGTGGCACTGTAGGATAAGCACTGGACTGTTAACCACAATAGTCCTCAGTTTAAACTCAGCAGCAGCTCCTCAGAAGCCCTATACAGGGTCACTATGAGTCTGAGCTGACTTGGTAACACTTAACAAAAACAACAACAACAAGCTACCCTTTATAGCACATAGAAGTGATTAGGTTTAGGGGACATGTTGTATTGGTATGGCCTCATCATTGATGTTGTTGTTAAGTGCTGTTGAGTCAGTTCCAACTCATAAGGACCTTGTATAGGGTTTCCAAGGAGTGGCTGGTGAGCTGACTCATTAATGGCCTCATTAATTTAACAAAAACAAAAAAATTCCTATTTCCAAATGGCTTGTGTTTGGGGGAACACAATTCAATCCATAACATTACCCTTTGTTGTTGTTATTGTTAAGTGCTGTTGATTTGGATCTGACTCATAAACCCTGTATAGGGTTTCTAAGGAGCAGTTGGTGAGCTTTACACTCAGTTCTCTCAGACCCAAAGCCCAAGCTCTAAGTATCATTAAAGACACAAAACTCCCAGAGAAGTGGAGTCAATGACCCCAGAGAGAAGGTCCTTGCTTGTACCTGTAATTTCTTAATGTTTATGCCCAAATTCTCTTGCCCTGCCCTCTATAAGCCACACAGCACACTGGGGCAGACACATCCACTGGTCAGTCCACTCTACCATCCCAGGTATGATGTCCAGGCTACTGTGTCCCTGATAAAGTATGGGAGACCAGAGGCCTCATTGATCTCTAGTTGCTTGTCCTGGACTTTGTCTCCCAGGGCGGCTTCTGGGAAAGGGTTTATCATCTCCAGGCCAGGATGACCTTCCTGCCTCTTTTCAGGCCTTTGTGGAAGATGAGCTGGAGCAACATGAAACTACATTTAAGGTTCTGTGTAAATCTTGCATCAGCATCAACTGAGCCTTGCGATACACTGGGCACAATGCCAGGCACTGGGACACCAGCGTGATGGAGCATGAGTGGTTCACTCTGCTTGATGAGATGATTCTTTGGCAAAATGGAATCAGACAAGTCAAAGGAAGTGAATACTTGGGCATGGTCAGAAGTTGAAGAGGGAACGTACCTGGAGAGCTGTGGGAGTTCTGGAAGGGTGGGGCTCCCTTAGGAGAAGGTTCCTGGAAGGTGGAGGTGGAAAGGAGAGGGAGAAAAAAAGCAGATGGGTAAGTGGAAAGTGTGATTGGGAAAGGTGGCGGGGTCTGTAGGATGGGAACAGGTGTTGATGGAGAAGGTGGGGAAGGAGACTGGGAAATGGCTTCGGACCTGCTGGTGCTGGGGTTCTGAAAGTGGTCAGCCTTTTGAGTGGGATATACTAAAGATATCTTGAATAGCGATGAGGTGAGATTAGGGCTGTGCTCTGGGGAGATGTTGAACCCTGAGTTAGGCCCCTGGAAGAAGGTGTAGTAAATGCATTTTCATGGTCTACTTGTATTGGCGAGGCCATTGAGTCACCCTGGGTGGTAGTTTGTGTTCAGCTGCTAACCTAAAGGTTATTGGTTTTAACCCACTTAGTGACAAAGAAAAGCCTGATGATACATTTCCAGGGACATTACAGTAAGAAAACCCTATGGAGCTGTGTTGGACTCATTGGATATAGGTTTCGTTTCGTTGCATGTGTTTTTTGTTTTTGTTTTTTAATTGGATGGACTTAGGGAAGGGTGGGAGTGGAGGCAGACAAAGTGCTGATTAGTGCCTAGTGTGTTTCTGAGCATCTTTTGTGTCCTAATTCATTAACTGCTCACAGTTACCCCATGAGATAGATACTTTGACAGTCCCCATGATACAGAAGAAGAGGATAAATTCACCCATCCTGTTGATGTGAGAGGAAGGGAGTGGGTGGACAGAAAATGAGAAATCAGCTGGGGTTGCTAAGGATGGAGCCTGGGGGACTGGGAGGGTGGCTGTGGCATTAATGGGAAAGCCACTGGTCCTAGACCTGCTCTGAGCTTGGCCCCTATAGCCAACAGCCTGATGCCTTCTCATTCTGACAGCTCCAAGCTCCTCAGTCTCATATGGCCAAACTAGTCTCATGGCCTTTTTCTCCCTCTCCCCTTGTCCACTCCAGGCCTATTCTTCCCCTTGCTGTTTGCCCACATGAATGAAGGCCACTATCATTCAATCAGGCATCCAACTCGGAAAGCTAGGTGACATCCATTGCAACCACTAAATAGCTTTCTGATGCATTCACTTCTCTCCAAATCCTCAGTCACCATTGAGTCCAAGTCATCATCATCTGTTACCCAGGAGGCCACTTGGCCTACTTCTGCTCTGTTCCCTCAGTCTTCTCTCCAGGCAGCAGCCAGAGCCCTTCTCTCCTTAACACAGGTCCTTAGTGATCTGGCCCCTGCTGACTCCTCATTCTCACCTCATATATGGCCCAAGATGTCCCCGAGCTTCAACCTTAGGGACTTCTAGATCTGTGTAGGCAGGAGCTTTTTTAAAATGCATTAATCAATTCTCTGTTCATTTGTTCATACCTGCTGTGTGCCAGTCTATGACAAGTTGAGGGTGCTGAAGCAGGCATGCTCAATCGCACCCTCAGAGAGCTCACACTGCAGTGTGGGGCAGTCAGGAAACAAATCCATCGGGCCTTACTTAGTACATGTTGCTCCCTTGACATAAAAATGTTTTCCTTCAAACCTCGGCTCAAGCAATGCTTGTTTGGGACAATATTCCCTGCATGCCCAAGCTGGACCTGGTGACTTATTGCAGATAATTGAGCTCAGTTAGAAAGGATAACTTGTGTGCTCTATTGACTAACTGCTTTCTCCCTCCTCAACTGTAACCTCTATGAGGCAGGAACTTTTTTGTCTCCTTCACTGTGTACCCTCAAGGCCTGGTGTCCTGCAGGCCCTCGCTAATTGTAGACAGAATGATAGATCTGAAGAGCAAGTTGGGGTAGAGGAGGGGTTAGACAGCAGAGGGCAGAGCACCGAACTTGGGAAACCTCAACCCTGGAGTGAACAGGATAACAGGAATGGATAGGGGAGCAGGAGAACCCAGAAAGGAAAGGATTCCCTAGAGGAGCGAAAACTGCTGAGGAAAACCTCCAGGGAATCTGAGTTGTTTTTTTAGGAAGTGTTCTTGGAGGCAGGAAGAGCCAAGTGACTATAGACAGTTTTAGAGCAAATACTAAGCCTACTAGAGTAGCTACTCACTTGCTGACTATCTTATTATACAACATTTTACATTTCAGGTAATAGTAAAGAAATCTACTATTCCAGTTTTTTGTGTATTAACGAGACCGTGGGAGGCCATTGGAAAGCTGCCCGCTGTCCACCTTCTCTCCACCCCACCTCTACATCTCGTTAATAGGGTGCCATAGCTAGCTGCCATGTGAACCAGACTTCTCCAGGGACTCAGCCTCTGGGCAGCATGAAGGCAGCACTAAGCTAACAGGTGTCTGTTCTGAGGTCCTGGCCTGAGGCTCTGCAGCTCAAAATTGCTGTAGGGTGGGAAAGGAGGAAAGAGAAAAGAAAGAGGCATTGGAGCTAGTGTTTGGAAGAAATGCGTGTGAATTCATGACATCCCAAAGTAACACAAACTGGGCCTGAAGCCTCTGCCGTGGAGGGGTCTAATGTACGGCCAGGTTCCCAGTGTCCTTACAGGAAGCCCTGAGCCTCAATCGTTCATCAAAAGACTGAGAGCAGAGCACCATATGGGTGAACACAGGCTTGCAGGGGTAGGAGTGGAGCCCTGAAGGCAGTTCCTCAAGGGAAGCTTTGACCCAGCACAGAAGGAAGATGAAATAGTTAAGCCCTGGGCCCTCCAGCTACATAGCAACTTTGTCTAGCTTTGTCTCCAACTTCCTTCTCTGCAGAGAAACAGCACAAAATGGACCTCATTATGATGGTGAGATCATCAGTAAATCTTGCTCTTCTTGTGTTTAGTGCCATTGAGTCGGTTCTGACTCATAACCACCCTATATAGGGTTTCCGAGGAATGGCTGGTGGGTTTGAACCTCCAACCTTGCAGTTCACAGTTCAGTGCGTATTCAACAGTGCCACACCGGTAAATCTTAGTGTCATTGAGTTGGTTCTGACTCCTATATAGGGTTTCCGAGGAACAGCTGATGAGTTTGAATGGCCAACCTTGAGGTTCGAACCGACCTTGTGGTCCAGTGCTTATCCTACAGCATCACACATCTTAACTGTTATTATTTCTGTGATCGTGTTTTCTAAATAATAATTTTAAAAAGTGATAAGTGGATGGTCTAAAAACAGAAGAAAAAAATCCTCCATTTTCACATCGATGCTTCTACAACCACCTGGTCTGTAAAGAAACTAACCATGTCAGTTAGTGGGGGGTAGGTGTATTGTTTTGAGTTTCTTAACTCCTCAGAGTTTTCTCTACTGCAAGATGGGGATGATAACAGTACCTGTCTTACAAGGTTGGTATAAGGATTAAAAGAGCTAAAAGACTTTATTTAAAGTTATTGCTGTTGTTGGGTGCCATTGAGTTGATTCCAACTCATAGTGACTCCGTGTGACAGAGTAGAATTGCTTTCAAGAATTTTAGGCTGTAATTTTTACGGAGGTAGGCCACCAGGCCTTTCTCTTGTGCAGTTGCTCTGAGTTCGAACCACCAACCTTTTGGTTTTATAAAACTAAATATATACCTACCCTATAACCAAGCAATCCCATTCCTACATATTTACCCAAGAAATGAAGGCGTATATTCATAGGAAGAGTTATACATGAAGGATCAGGCTTCCAAGGTGGCACAGTTTGCTATTAACCTAAAGATTGGTGGTTCAGAGTTCCCCAAACCCCCAAGCAGCACCAAGGAAGAAAGGGCTGGCGATTTGGTTTTTGTAAAGACTACAACAAAACTTCACAGAGTGGTTCTACTATGTAACCCATAAGGTTGTCAGGAGTCAGAATCCACCCCATGATAATAGGTTTGGGTTTCTGTTTGGCTTTTTAATTTTAACCCAAACCTTTTATCAAGGTATGTTGTTGCTGTTAAATGCTGTTGAGTTGGTTCCAACTCATAGCGACTCTGAAAATGATTTCCAAGGAGTGGCTGGTGGGTTTGAACCACCAACTTTGTGGTTAGCACTTAAGTGCATATCCTACAGTGCCACACCAGGATTCTATATCAAAATATAATAAAAAAAACATGTTGAACTTTTTAAAAAAAATCAGTCCCCTAAGGAAACTTTCTAGACATCTTTTTCTAGCTACCTCTTAACCCATGACATTGTAATGCCACAGATATACTGTAATAACTTTATTCATAGTAGGCCCAAACTGGAAAGAGGTGAAAAAGAAAAAAGCAAATTGTGGCGTGTTGTGCAAGTAGAGCACTATTCAACAATAAAAACTATTACTGAAATTCACAAAACACAGATGTATCTCACAGATATTATCCTTCTTGTTAAGTGTCATGGAGTCGGTTTTGACTCATAGCGACCCTGGATAAGGCATTCAAGGAGTGTCTGGTGGGTTTGAACCACCAACCTTGTGGTTAGAAGTCTAGTGCTTATTCTACAGCACCATACCAGGACTCCAGATATTATGCTGTAAGATGCAAAAGAGTATATGGTATAATTTCATTTTGTCACTAGGGTTGAAGATTGACTGGAGAGGGACATGAATGAACCTTCTGGGGTAATAGTAATGCTTTAGGTTATGCATTCTCAAAGGGGATAATATTGCTCCAGCAAAACAAAACTTATTGAGGGGACAAAAACACTGTTTAAACATTACAACTGTTTGTGGAGCTCCAAAGAACCACTATATAAAAACAGATACCAGGTGTAACTATGGTATTAAAATTTCACGGGAAGGTGACTTAAAAAGTTATCTTAAAAGTTTATTTGTTGTTGTTGTTAAGTGCCATCAAGTTGGTTTTGACTCATAGTGACCCTGCATAGTGTCTTTGCATAGAGTTTCCAAAGAGCAGTTAGTGGGTTTGGACGGCTTACCTAGCAGTTTATAGTCCTACAGTTTTTCCTATACGCTGCACTGGAAAAGGTTCCTTAGGGAGGTTGATAATGAAAACAAAAGGTTGAAAACACTTTTCTAAATGCTGATAAAGGATTGGATTACATTGGGTGTATGCATTTGTCAAAATAGCTTGATGATATACTTAATATTTGTGAATTTCACTCAATATAAATTTAATTTCCACAATGAAACAAAATGTTCATTTTGAATGAAACAAAGTAAATATTGAACTCGTTAATATTTGCAGGCTGAGGTACTTAAGGGTAAAGTGTGCTGCTTTCTTCAATTTACTTTGAAACGCATAAAAACTAAGATGAATTGAAGAATGCACAGAATGGATGGGTCGTTTTGAAACAAATTCATTGTCAAGTTCACCATAAGAAAGAGTAGAACTGCCCCATGGTGTTTCCAAGGCTGTGGGATTGCTAATTGCAAGGCTGCCAGTTCAAACTTACCAGTTGCTCTTGGAGACTGTATACAGGGTTGCTGAGTTGGAGTGAACTTGATAGCACTTAACAATAATCTTTATGGAAGCCGACGGCCAGGTCTGTTCTACTGTGGAGCTACTGGTGGCTTCCACCTTTCAGTTAATCATTGTGCCACCCGGACTCCTTGGATAGATTGTTAGCTATGTAGTAAGACAAATGTAATAAATCTTACTTCTGAGTCTAGAATTAGTCACTTCTGTGAGAAATTTAAGCCCCAGGAGAACAAGGACTTTATCAGTCTGGCACATTTGCTGTTGTGAAGTGCTATCGAGTCAGTTCTGACACATAACGACCCTGTGTAGGGTTTCCAAGGAGCAGCTGGTGAGCTTGAACCACCAATGTTGCAGTTCAAATGGCTTTGCAGTCTGGCGCATTAACCCATAATGCCACACTAGGTGCCATCAAATTGGTTCCGACTAATAGCAATCCTGTGCACAATAGAACAAGACACTAGAGCCCATTGATGCTGCCACTGTGACAATCCATCTCATTGGAGGTCTTGCTCTGTTTCACTGACTCTACACTTTACCAAGCATAATGTCCTTCTCCAGGGACTGGTCCCTCCTGATAACACATCCTAAGTATAAGTCTTACCATACTGGCTTCTAAGGAGCAATCTGGCTGTACTTCTTCCAAAATAGATTTGTTTATACTTCTGGAAGTCAGTGGTACTTTTAATATTATTTTCTAACACATAACTCAAATGCATCAATTCTTCTACTATCTTCCTTATTCATTGTCCCATTTTCACATGCATAGGAGGCTATTGAAAATACCATGGCTTGGGTCAGATGCAGTTTAGTCCTCAGACTGACGTCTTTGCTCTTGAACACTTTAAAGATGTCTTTTGCAGCAGATTTACCTAATGCAATAATATATCACTTCATTTCTTAACTGCTGCTTCCATGAGAGTTGATTGTGGATCCAAGCAAAATGAAGTCTTTGACAACTTCAATCTCTTCTCCATTTCTCATGATGCTATTTATTGGTTTGCTATTGCTGCTAAATTGGTTCCGACTCATAACGATCCTGTATAAGGTTTTCGAGGAGAAGCTGGTGGGTTTGAACTGCTGACCTTTTGGTTCTCAGTCCAGTGCTGATCCTACAGTGCCACACCAGGAGTCCATTTATTGGTATAGTGGTGAGGATTTTTGTTTTCTTTACATTGAGGTGCAACCCATACTGAATGTTATAATTTTTTATATTTACCCATATTTTAAGTCCTCTTTGCTTTCAGCAAGCAAAGTTATATCATCTGCATATGGCATGTTAGTGAATTTTCCTCCAATCTTGATACCACATTCTTCTTTATATAATTCATTTTCTCAGATTATTTCTTCAGAATATAGATTGAATAACTATGGTGAAAAGAGTACAACCCTGGCACACCTTTCCTAATTTTAAATCATTCAGTATGGATCTACTACTGCCTTTGGTCTGTGTACAGGTTCCTCATGAGCACAATTAAGTGTTCTGGAATACCCTTTGCAGTGTTATTCATAATTTGTCATGATCCACACAGGGTCGCTATGGGTAGGGATAGATTTGACAGCACTTAACAACAACAACAGAGTCTAAAGCCTTTGTATAGTCAATTAAGCATAAGTAAACATCTTTCTGGTATTCTCTGCTTTCAGCCAAGATCCATCTGACGTCAACAGTGACATCCCTGTTTCCACCTCCTCTTCTGTTTCTGGCTGTACCCTGTGAATGTACTGTTGCAGTCCTTTCTTAAATTTTGTTCAGCAAAATTTTACTTGCATATGATATTGATGAGATATGCTTGGTTCATAGCAGGAGTCAATGAATATTCATAGAATGAATTAATAATACTTGTAAAGCGCTTACGATAAGCGGAAGCATGTGTGATTTTTTTTTTCCCCGCCACCATCCTAGCGATGGCGCTGAAGCTCAAGGTGCCTTGAGTAGAGGCTGGTGGAGACACTCTAGCCGCGCCTAGCACCTCTACTCTATGGCGAGTCTTCCAAACGCGTCAAAACTGCTCAGGCCGGCTCCCGGGAGAAGACAGAGCATGCGCGGGGTTGTGCCGGCTGGGATCGCTATGGCAGCGGCGTCGCGGTGGGCCGGGCCTCGGCTCTTCCGCCCCAGCCCAGCAGCCGCCACTGCTGCTGCCGCCGCCACTTGGGCATGAGCGGGGTCTCCCGCCATAGCTGGCTGCCATACTCGCAGCAGCCACCGCATCCCTACTGTGGGCCCTGGTCGGGAACATGCCCCTGGCCGCCTACTGCTACCTTCGTGCCGTCGGCAGGGGCAGCTATGGAGAGGTGACACTCGTGAGGCACCGGCGGGACGGCAGGCAGGTCAGCAGGGCAGGGGCCTGGTGAGGGACAAGCTAGGATACGCAAAGGGCGCCATCCAAGACCCGGGATGGTCTGAAGGGGGCTCACCTAAGATGGCACTTACTTAAAGAAATGGTCCCTGACTTCCAAGACTAGGCCTGAACCCTCATGAGTCCCAAACTCCCTGTACTTATCCTTTGTCGGATTGATATGTGTGCTTGATTTAGGAAATGTGTGTGGAGAGTGGGGGACAGGCATGGCAGTTTCTTGAGGGGCCACGTATTCTGAGGACTGAACGCATCGCCTAGCCAGTATTGCTTCTTGAATGAAGGGTCCCAGACTGCTGGACTGAAAACTCAACTCATTGTCTGCCAGCAAACCTCCTCTTACCTTTCCTATATCAGTGAATGACATCTCTAACCAATCAGTTACCCCAGCAACTGGAAGTCATACTTGCTACCCTCTTCCTCACTGATTGTATTAATTTGTCGCTAAGCCAGCAGGCTTCTCCATCTCCACTGGTACTACCCCGGTGCGGGACCTCATTGTCTCTAGTTACGCTGTAACCATGAGTTCCCTTTGCCTTCTGACTTAATCTTCTCTGATCCAGTATCCTCACTGCAGCCACAGTGATCTTTATAAATCTTAAATCTGATCTTGTCATTTTTTGCTTAAAACACTTTATGCCATCACCCCCAGGGTAATGATCCAGTTCTTTAATGTGATTTTAATATTAAGTGACCATTATGTACTGCATCAACTAGGACACTTTTGAAAGTGAAAGGGGTCCCAAAACAATAGACTTAAAACAGATGGTTTGGACAAGCTAAGAGGGAAGAGCCTGTATAAGAATAAGCACCCTCCCCCCTTTCTGTGTTATCCCAGGTTGCTCATCCATGAGGAATTTGTTCAGTAGGCATTGGGCCATTGGGTTTTTTTTTTTAGCTAAGGGTGGGAGACTGGCTATAGTAACAGCCCCTTACATTTGAGCAATAGTCTACATTTTACAGAGCATATTTATTTACATGTTTGTTGGATGAATGAGTTGTATGTATTTTCAGTTATTTGAGAACAATGTTAGGTATTAAGGGATACTGAGTTTTAGGTGGGGATAATTTTGTATGTGGGAGATCCGTGATTTTTAACCTTGCTAGGTTGGAAAAACCAATCTGTGTTGGAAGAAGTAGTCAGAATGCTCCTTAGACGTCAGGATGGCCAGACTTCATCTCTCATACTTTGGATATATTGTCAGAAGGGACCAGTCTGTGGAGAAAATAGCATGCTTGGTAAAGTGGGGGTCGAAGGAGAACAGGAAGACCCCCAACTAGATTGATTGGCACAGTGACAGCAGCAATGGGCTCAAACATACTAATGATAGTGAGGTTGGCGCAAGACCGGGCAGTGTTCCGTTCTGTTGTGCAGAGGGTTGCTATGATTTGGTACTGACTGGATGGCACCCAACAACAACAACGACAAAAGATTGAAAGGGAGTCCTGGTATGGCACTGCAGGATAATGCACTGGACCACAAGGCCAGTTTGAACCATGAGGTTGACTGTTCAACCCCACCAGCCACTCCTCAGAATCCTAGCAGCAACATACAACTGCCAACAGACTAGATCCACAGTTTGTATTAGATGCTCAAAGACTGAAAGATCCCTTTGAGTACCTAACGTAAACTGTGAATCCATTCTGTTGGCAGTTATATGCTGCTGCTTCTGCTGCTGTTGTGTGCTGTTGAACCACTTCTGACTCATAGCAACCCTGTATAGGGTTTCCAAGGCTATAAACCTTTATGAGAGCAGAAAGCCTCATCTTTCTCTTGCAGAGTGGCTAGTGGATTTGAACTGCTGACCTTGTGGTTAGAAGCCCAATGCATAGCCCACTACACTACCAGGGCTCCTGTATAGTCAAGCCATATTTTATGTTTCCTTTTGAGGGTGTGGTGCTGTGGATTAATGTGTCAGACTGCAAAGTCGTTTGAACTGCAAGATCGGTGGTTCAAACTCACCAGCTTGCTCCTTGGAAACCCTATACGGTGTCGTTATGGGTTGGAATGGACTTGACGGCACTTAACAGCAACAACCACCACAGATTTTATGATTGATGCAGTGAAATACTAAGCCATTCTCATTTTTTAGCCTTTGATGAAATTGTGAAATGCAAATAAAAAGGAAAATTTTTCGTGACCCACACACAGCTATGAATCTAACCTGTAAAAAGTGTCTTCAGTGACACAAACATTTCCCCTGATTTTGTGCTTTGTGAGTAACAAAGCTAATATAAATGGCAGGCTCCTGGAGGTTGGTTTTGAGCCCTGAAATACTTGTGAATGTTTAGAACTGTATGCTGAGTTGTAAATTGTAAAACCCCATGTTTTCTTTGTAGTATGTCATCAAAAAACTGAACCTCCGAAATGCCTCCAGCCGAGAGCGGCGAGCTGCTGAGCAGGAAGCACAGCTCTTGTCTCAGCTGAAGCACCCCAACATTGTCACCTACAAGGAGTCGTGGGAGGGAGGGGACGGTCTGCTCTACATTGTCATGGGCTTCTGCGAAGGAGGTGATCTGTACCGAAAGCTCAAGGAGCAAAAGGGCCAACTTCTGCCCGAGAGTCAGGTAGTGGAGTGGTTCGTCCAGATCGCTATGGCTCTGCAGGTACTGTCCAGACTCACAGCACTCCACTGGCTCCAGGGTGGCAGGGAGATGGCACGTGGATTTTAGGACAGTCCCAAACACACACACCCTCAAATGCTTTGTTGTTGTTGTTAAGTGCTGTTGAATCGGTTCCGACCCATAGCAACCCTGTACAGGGTTTCCGAGGCTGTAAATCTTTACGGGAGCAGAAAGCCTCATCTTTCTCCTGTGGAGCGGCTGGAAGTTTCGAACTGCTGACCTTGAGGTTCACAGCCCGATTCGTAACCACTACGCTACCAGAGCTCCTCAAATACTTACATGAAAAAAATGTCTTTTTTGATACATTTTTTCATGAAGTGCACACAAACCCTCTTGTGGTAGCGTTGGAAAGTTTCTGAATGTGTGGTTTCTATATTGAACTGCACCTGGATTTCCTGCCTAATTATAGTTAATTCATTGTTTGTTATAGCAGAGTTGACAGAGTAAAGAAGGGCCATGGTAGGTAATGGCTGGTCAGCTATATCTTGCTGCAAGGAGGCAGAGCTAATAAATATGCATAAACTGGGCATTTGGTCAGGTGGCAGAGTAGGTAGAAATGCTAAAGCAGCTTGTTTCATAATGTACATGTACTCAAAAGTGGGGTGTTTATAAAACACTACCCTTGAACTGAGCAGACCTGTCCAGAATTAATTGACCTTGTTTAAATTCTAAGATAGTCTCTCTGAATAGAAATGGTCTTGCTATATTTGAAAAATATTAAGTTGAGGATTTCATGCGTCTGAGAGGAGTATACATATGACATTGTGTAAAATGCCCTTCTACCTTCAGTGAGAATTTATAAGTACATTTTAAAGTAGGTTCATGTAATGTGAAAATGGTATTAATTGTCAGGTTACCAGGTAACAATTGTGAAGGACAAAATAATGAACAAAACTTAACTTTTCTACTTTGGAGAGATATTAATCAGATTCTATACTTAAAGAGTAAAAAGCAAGAAAGTTTTGGTATAGGTATAGGTAGCTGCCTTAGTTATCTAGTGGTGCTATGACAGAAATACCACAAGTGTATGGCTTTAACAAGCAAATTTGTTCTCTGACAGTATCATCTGCGTGTCACACGTTGCGCCTTCATCTAATCCTGACACTCTATTCTTCTTCATATAGTCTAATTTCCCAGGCTGTTTACTCAGCATACAAGTTAAAGACATACAGTGGAAAGATTATCCCCTTTCCAGATCTCCTTGTTCTGTTTGAATGAGCCAGGAGTATATGTACTTATATTTAATGAAATTGCATTTCTCTCATCACTCAGTATTTACATGAGAAACATATCCTTCACCGAGATCTGAAAACACAGAATGTCTTCCTAACAAGAACAAACATCATCAAAGTGGGCGACCTAGGAATTGCCCGAGTGTTAGAGAACCAGTGTGACATGGCCAGCACCCTCATTGGCACACCGTACTACATGAGCCCTGAGTTGTTCTCAAACAAACCCTACAACTATAAGGTAGGACTGTGCAATGTATGCCGACTCACCTAGCAATTAGGACAGTATTCATAACTTCCGAACCACTAGAGTCAGGGCCGGGAATGTAAGTAAGGCATTCTGACATTTGACTCTTTACTGCTTTTCTTTCCTAGTCTGATGTTTGGGCTCTGGGATGCTGTGTGTACGAAATGGCCACCCTGAAGCATGCTTTCAATGCAAAAGACATGAATTCCTTAGTTTATCGGATTATTGAAGGGAAGGTAAAAATATTACCTAAAACTAATTTTTTTAAATGTTTGAAGCTAAGTTTATTTAATGCAGCTTTGTAAGTAGTCACTGGCAAAATCAAATAAAAATTGACAATGGGTAGATAGTTAAGGATGGTGGAACCCTTATGTGGGAAAAACTATATGGGAGGAGAAGGGGATTGATAATTTTGTCATATTGATTATAAAGGTCACTTACCAAAGAATTAGACTTTTGCCAACTTCCACCTTGCTGGTACCATAAGAAGCTGTTGATACATCTTCTCTGAAGCTTCCTATGGTTCAGTGAACACCATTTAAAAAAGGAGTCCATTGTGTTTTAATTTGTTCCAGTTGTTGATAGTTAGGATTTACAGAAAGCACTGTGGAGGCCAGCATGACGAACTTTATACATTAATTCTTATGAGGCTAGTTGCCATATGCAATGCCAGGCATCCAAGTACTATTAGGAGTTTTTTTGTTTCTTAACTTTTTATTGTGATTTGAGTGAAGACTTCCAGAGTAGATCAGTAGTTTTACACTCAACAAATTATATACTTTGTTTCATTGCAATGATTGCAGTCCCCTCCACGTACCAATAGTTAACAGGATTTACCTCTATTCATTTTAACTTGCCCTCCTCCCTGTGTTTTCCAATACCTCCATCTTTCCTCTGCGAACTTCCCTCTTGTTGTGTATTGCCTGCCCTGTCACCCATGTTAACATGTGTCTACACTCTGTCTGTGAACAATTCAACCCCAACCATCATAGTTGTTGTTGTTAAGTGCCGTCATAGAGTGTTCCTTTTATCAAGAAAACCTCTTCTTAAAATTTTAAAACCATTGGTCTCATACAATATTCTTTCTTTTGTGATTGACTAATTTCACTCAGCATAATGTTCTCCAGGTTCACTCATGTTACGAGCGGTTTCACAGATTCATCATTATTCCTCAACGTTTTGTAGTATTCCATTGTATGTATGTACCAAAGTTTATTTAACCATTCTTCTGTTGAAGAGCATTTAGGCTGTCTTCATCTTTTTGGTGTATCTCTTGTAGACAACATATTGACCGATCCTGTTTTCTTTTCCATTCTGTTCTCTTTGTCTCTTGACTGATGCATTTAAGTCACTTACATTCAGTGTAATTATTAGTAGGTATAAATTGATTGCTGTCATTTTGCTGTGTTTTTTTGTGATGATGCTGGTTTATTTTTTCCACATAGTTTTCTGTTCCAAGGTCATTTTGTTTGCGGGTTTTCTTTTCCTTTTCCTTTTTGTTGTGTTAATGTTTACTAAATCTTTCTAATTTTTCTTTTCATGTGAAGGTATGGTAATTTTATTTTAGGTTACTCTGGAATTTACTGATTTTTCTCCTTGTTTAAAATAATCTGTTTTATGTTGAAATCTACTTGACTTCCTTGCCATTTGGAAGTTCTACACTATTCCTCTTATTGCTTTGTAGTTGACCTTATTATAAATTGATATCTCTGGTTCTCTATTGTCTATCTTGTAGGTTTGTTTTACTTTAAATACTCATATATCTGGATTAAGTTCTGGGTGGTGTTGTTATATGTGTCATTCTCACACATGGTTGTGATCTACTGTTGTTGGTTCTCAGTCCAAAGAACACTCTTTAGTATCTTTTGTAAACTTGGTCTACTTATACAAATTCCTTTATGTTTATCTGGAAATGTCCTGATTTTGCCATTGTATTAAAGGGACAGCCTTGCTGGATATATGGTTCTTGGTTGGCAATTTTTTTGCCATTCAGAATTTTGTATATGTCATCCCATTTCCTTCTTGCCTGCATGGTTTCTGCTGAGAAATCAGAGCTTAATCTTATTGGTCCTCCTTTGTAGGCAACTTTTGTGTTTTTCCCAAGCTGCTCTCAGTATTCTGTCCTTGTCTTAGATTTTGGAAAGTCTGATTATTGTATGTCTTGGTGATTTTCTTTTGGGCACTAACCTGTTTGGGGTTCATTCAGATTTTTGTATGCTTACCTGTCATTCATAATGTCAGAGACGTCCTCTTCCAACAACTCTTTGACAGTTTTCTCTGTGCTTTTTATTGTCTCTTCTATTCTGGAATTCTAATCACTCATCAATTATTCCTCTTTATGGTGTCTCACATAACCCTTAGGCTGTCTTAGGATTTCTCAGTTCTCTTTTCTGATTGTTCTTCTAACATACTAGTATTGAGAGATTTATCTTTAAGCTCACTCATTTGGGTTTGCGTTGCTTCAAACCTACTCTCTTGCTCATTCATTGTATAGTCCATTTCGGAAATCTTAGTATTAATCTGGATTTCTAATAGAAGGTTTTGTAATGTTTTGAAATTTGCATTTATTTTGCATGTTTTTTCTAGAGTTTTCCTGAATTCTTCTCAATGTTTTTCTGTGTTTTGGCTTGCTTTCCTCCATCTTTCTGTCAGTCCTTTGAAGGCACTTAAATATTACTCTTTTGAGTTCTTTTTCAGTTAGTTCTGTTACCTTTTCTTCCTCAGGAATGTTTTCTGTCCCTGCATCATGGTCATTTGTTTGATCCAGTCTCTCTTGTTTCTTCATGTGAGCTAAAATTATCCATTGTCTCTGGGACATTATGGCATTGCTGTATTTGTATTCAATTGTTAACTGCTGTTGATGTTCTTAGGCTCTCACCAGCTGCTTCCTGGGAGTCTAGTTAGAGAATGGAAGTGTGTACACCGTTGGCCATTCACCATTTGTGCACCTCAGTTTAGTGTGAGTTTGGCTGGTGCTGGCTGCTGACTATTGTTGGTCATGTAGTATAGGAGCTGGTATTATCTGTTGCCCACGGGGTAGAGCTGCAGAGGGTACGGTTATGGCTGGGCTGTATGGGCAAAGTTGTTGTCAGATGGGCAAGAGGAGAAGACCCCTCTTACAACACTTACAAGAAAACAAAACAAAGTAAACAAACAAGCAACCAACAATGAAAAGAGAAAAAAGAAATAAAACAGGCAGAGAAAAAGAGGGATAGAAAAATGGAGTTATAGAAGAGAAAAATATGTGAGAAAATAAAAGGAAGAAATTAAAAAACAACAACAACAACACTTAGGAAAACCAGGGAAAGGGACAATAAAAAGAGAAAGAGAGTAGTAAAGAAAGAGCAAAAGAGAAAAGGAAGAGGGGAAATGAGAAAAAGAAGAAAAGAAGGAAAAATGAAAGTGGAGATAGAAAGTAT